ATTTAGTCGGTTTTTCGATCGATTTGGGAAGGAAGGAGTCCCTCCCGACAATCGGCCTGATTAACCGACGAGACAGATCGGAGCAACCGATCGATTAAAAAAACAACCGTCGGTTACAATAACCGACGGTGGTGGTCGGTTGGGCGGTCCCAACCGACTGCCACACACTCCTACTTAAAACCAGAATAACTTAGATTTTACTTAAGAAACATTTTCTTTTTCCAAATTTTTGGGGTGGGAATTATTACTCACATCATACTTATTGATGCTGCAATGGTGTATCCAATGGAAATGCCGCAAAGATTTAGATACTGAATTAACCCGCATGCCTTCACCTTGTATCCACCTGAGAAAATAAAAAGAAAATGCATATTAGGCTTGTTAACAATATATTCCAAAAGTTTGCATGAATTAAGCAGGCCAAAAGAGTCACCAAGAATGGACCGAACAGCATCCATGTAAGTATAGTTCCGCTTGCCCGAGACAGGGTCACCAGTCCGGTAACAGTTGGTGAGGAGAGAAGAAGTATAGTAAGTGACTAAGGAAAACAAGAACATTACAGCAGGACCAGCAATCCACCCTAGTTGAGCTATAGCCCATGCTAAAGAAAGAACCCCAGATCCAATCACAGCTGTTATTATGTGTGCACTGGCAGTCCATAGAGTTCCTGTCCATCCAACACAGCAGATATGTTATAAACGTTAATTCCTTAATTCCGTTCCTTCATATCTTGATGATAAAACAGAGTTTAATGTACAAAAACAAGGCAAATAAAAACACAGAGAAAAAACAGGGGAAGGGAGTGAAAGATTCACCGGCTCGTTTGATACGGCCATCGTCATCGAAACATTCTGAGCCACCCTGAGAAGGGATGCCGATGGAGACGTCAAAGACTTGGTGGTCGTTAAGGTTCTTGGTGGCAGCGTTCTCACCCATCTTGCAACTGACTAACAACAAACGAAAAACAAAATGCTTTATCTTATTTGCATGTAGCACCCGACGGGAAAGCCCCAGTTATGAGAAGAAAAGTGTGTGGTTCACTTGAATGACCCTAAATGGTGGAAATCAGAGAGAAGTTGGGAGTAGGAAAGGTGAATAGAAACGATATGAATGAAGGGAAATGGGGGAAGGGAACAGGGTATTTATACAACTTGTGTCACTCCAATCCCATATAAGAGATTTGGATTAAAAGTAAGTTTGTTTAATTAGTGAAAAAGATTTTCAATGGGTAAGTTAGTGGGGTTATGAATATGAAGAGATGTCCATAACAATAGTTAAGAGAGAAGAATGTCTAAAATGGAAAGTATAAACACTTTGGGTATTTAGAGAGGAATATCTTTTAAGATTAAATTAAAATATATTTTCATTTGAGTTATAAATGAAGTTAAAATATTAAATATTAATGTGTGAGCAATCACTTTAAATTCTTATGTTATATGTGGTAAGTCGAGAGTGATGTAGTAATTGATTAATGCTTTCATTTACTTGGATGATTAGTTGATTGAAACAAGGTTAGCATATAAGCACGTGAAAGTCACGTGGTATTAAAATAGCCAGATGGCATCTTTCCAAAAGCAAGCATCAATCAAAAACAATTAAGGAAGAGGAAGAATAAAGCGGAGAACCACGGAACAGATTCCCCAGTCGACCTCGTCAGTCTCTTGTCACCGATTCGCAACGTTAGAAGGCGTTACGTGAATGAATTTTGCATGTCAAGCTGAGGACAAATTGGACTTTCTAATACAAGTAACTGTATATACCTACCTACCTTTGATTTCTATAAATAAAAACTAGTACATCTTATTTAGCAATGATAAATTTAAAATTTGGTATGAAAATATAAATTGATTATTCGATTCGAAGTAAAAATTAATCACTTTTATAGTAAAATTAAATTATAATAGAAAACTAATTACTAACTCGTCACCATATTTAGTCCATCCCTAAATGAAAGTATTAGCAGCTAATTCTTACTTTGCCCAAATAATATAAGATGCCTTTGGTGTTCAAAACTATCCTTCCTCTCAAGCTTGCATGAGCATGATTGGAACTAACCTAAATCTTACGGAATGCACACCAAAATGTTAAAGTACTAACAGACAAACTTCACCTTGCAAAGACCATTAACAATCCTAATATGGTAAAAGACAAATAAAAACTAATCAAGTTGGCCCATTAGTTTGTTTTTGATGTAACCACTTAGCAAATCATCCACATTCGTCCTACATAATAAAGCCAAAATCAGAAACAATGCTTCTCACCTGTCTTATTTCTTACTTGTCCTCCACTCCCTCGATATGGGCAACTCTAAACCGTATATACAAAAAGAGGAAAAAGAAATTCCCAGATGGGATGAGAAATTAGTCGCTGCAATTGTTTTGATGTGCTCTCTCGAGTTTATATAATACTGAGAAAGTGATGGAAACGAATTGTGATTAACAAAGGTTACGACATAGTTAAGTTTTGATTAAAAAAAAAATGGTGAGGATAGGCAACTTTTGTATTGCTGTCCGGCGTGTGTAGTCTCTCCTCCGTCGTTATGGAAAGGAAGGAATCAATGCTCTTTCCTCCTCCCCACCTTTTAGTCACTTGCTTTATGCGATGTATTGGTGGCTTATGCAACTTCGGAGAATAATCAAATGTAGAAAATGCACAGCTTTGTTTCCAAGGGAAAGGAAGTCATAAGCTTAGTCCCCTGTCACAGGTTGGGAATTTAGTGAAGACAAGTTATGCAAAAATAAAAATTATTAATTTGAAGAAAAATAATTATATTATTTTCAAGAAAAAACGAAAATTTCAGATTTTAAATAAATGAGTACTTGAGCAATTGACTCTAATTCTATTGTATTTTATTTTCTAAAGAGATCATGATCGACGCAAGAACTTATGTAAGTAGATCTTTAGGTCCAAACAAACTTAAACCAATAATGTATGAGCTAATCATCCATCGCATTCTCACACACTCACATTCACAAGTAAAGTTATGTAATAATTCATCAACATTATTATATTATACAACTTTTTATTGTAAGGTGTGATTTTTATCACATTTTATATAAATATTCATAATATTATAACAATTGTGATTTGGCGTGCATCTCGCATTTATATTGCAATGGCTTATTCACTTGCACTCATATCCATAGCTCAACATAACATTCGAAATATAAACAAGTATGGATATATCAACATTTATTTACACAACTAATTAAGTTCCTTATTAACATAATAGTTCAAGACTTGACTTAATATATTGTAGATTGCGACAACACTAAAAGGTTGGAAGAAAGGCTCTATCACATCTATCTCTAATGAGCTAGATTATTACTCCACAAGTCATTTAGACAAGCAAGCTATTAATTTGTAAAATAAAATAAGAGAAATATAACAAAGACTCTGAAAGTGAAGATGGGGAAGGAGACAAGTCAAAGGAGAGAGTTTTTGGTAATAAATCATATTTTGCAAAGACACACAATAATCATATAAATCTAAAGCAAAAAAAAAATCATATAAATCCTTTCACTGACAATAATCCCATTTCAATATTTCCATAAATGCATTTGAAACTCAAATTTCATTTCAAAAATTAATGGACTTCTGTATAATTTTGATCAAAATTTATAAGAATCAAGATATTTTACCTTTTATATTTTTTTTTTACGTTCAAGTTCTTATACTTTATTTTTAATTAAATAAACCTTATAATTAATAAATAGTGTTATCGGGGTGGTGGCTACTACCCTTCGCTTATTATTATTATTATTATTATTATTATATGTATAAAATTTGATGTAAATAGTTTCATCACTCCACCACTCTTTATGTAAAATTTTGAATTCATCACTGATGATCACGTAATATTTTGATATTTTATATTAACGTCACATCAATATCACGTGATTACAAAATAATAAATTATATTTTTATTTATTTACAATAATCATTTCTCTATTTATCTTACGGATGTTTAAACAGGAAGAATAATGCAATACATAGACGGTGTTGTTTTATTTTACTACTTTTCCACTTGCTTTCTATGATTTGTTAAACGTTCAAGAGCTTAGAATAATTGTGTAATTAAAATCAAGCCTCAAAAATCTGGAATAACAAACGTGGAAAGAGTAGTATTGGAATATCGAATCCAACAACTTTGATGCCCAAACACCGAGGAAAGGCAAGTTATCTGGGCAAATCAAAGTGGTAGCTCTTATCATTTCTAATTAGGACTGCCTTTGAAGTTTTAAATTATTATTTAAATATAGTGAAAAGGATAAAAAAAAAATAAGTGAACACGATGAGGAATAATAGAAGGAATTAGATACTTTGCCAAAAAATTTTAATGTGACGCTGTAAAGGGTTGCAAACAGTGGTGTGTTGCAAAAAGTATTTGCAACAATCTTATTCTTTTGTTAGGATAAGTATTGTGCAATACCTATTAAAATATAATAATTTTCATACTGTAAAATGTATTTTTTTTATTATGAAATATAAATTATTCGTCGTAAATGTATTTACAACGATTGTTTGAAAATATTTTTGTTGCCAAATATAGTTGTTAGGGTATTGCAACATTATTAAAGTAATTACTAAACATTTTTTGTTTCAAGAATTGATTTGATACATTTATTATTAAGTCAAACATTCAAATATTAATGGCTCGATTCAGTCTTCGAATACCCAAACTTATTTATACTTTTGTATATTCTCTAAGTCTCATCGAAATCAGACACTAATAAATATATATACCCTAAATAATAATGTTTGTCTCAATTTATAAATAATCGTACCATATTATCAGTTTATCTTTGGTTAATGTAGTCACAAATATATGTATATATAAAAAATGGTATTATATTATAATTTTAAGACAATTCTAACTAATATTACATATATCTCTTATTTAAATAAGGAGATTCGAGTTCTCTTCCCATTTTCCTTCAAAAAAAGGAAGAACAAAAAAACCTTGTTTTGCTAAAATATTGCATGCATATCCTATCTTCTATGACATTGAAATGCCTATCAAAAAACTAGACAATCATCTCCTTTTTCCTTCTTCACCGAAAGAAAAGTTACAGCTTGCCAGATAATTCTTAATTAATTTACAAATGTTCAATGATAATATCCACTTTATTCTCCTTTGAATTAAATTATACAACGGCAACAACATCCCCCGTTACACTCCCTGGTAGCAGTCACAAAACAGCACGCCAGGGCCAGTAGGCGATGACTGCTAGCCAATGCTTTATAAAGTTTTATATATTTCATGTTCAAGTCCAGCGTGTACAAAAGTATTGATTTGGTTGTTTATTTATTTATCTTGTTTATTGATCATCTTTTATTTGATTTATATTAAAATGATATAATATTTTTTAAAAAACTTACTATTTAAGAAAATTTAAATAAAGTTTATTTTTTTATTTAATCAAGTTCATATGTTTTTATTTTAAATCAAATAGGTTCTAATAATTAACTAATGGACTAATAGCATGGTGTTAAATGACATTGAAGTGCCAAAAACTTCTATTAATTATACTATTTATGTTAAAATTTTATATAGTTAATGATACTAATTAACTCACTAATTTTTTTAATTATTATTATTTTAGTTATAATTTCACTCAAAAAAAAATTTTAGATTCACTCCTCTACTTGTAATTTTATATTTATGTGATATAGATGTGACTAAAAATATTATATAATCATATCGCATTAATATATTATATAATGTAACCATTCACTATGATATGTTAATATATTATATTAATATCACGTGACCTAAAACAATAATATGACTCCTTATAGTGAATGTCAAGTGCTGTCATATAAATCTGCAAGCAATGGGGCAATTTCAACCCTATATCTTCCCAATGCTTTTATATTTTGAAAGCATATATAAAAAGAGTTTGAAAAAGAAATAATTATTTTTAATAGTTTAGATAAAAAAACATTAAGTTTTTATTTTTAAAATCTATATTATTTGCTGATAATATATATCATTATTTTGCTTAAACTATCAAATCCTCCTAAAAGACAAAAAAGGGAATAAAGAAAAGAAAAATGGAAGAAGGCTTTTGGGCCTTGCATAAAGAAAAAAACAAGTCCCTAAACCAGTTTACCTTAAAAGAGCCCAAAATCGTCTTTACATTATACAAGGCCCAAAATCCTCATTTCATTTTTCTTTTCTTTTCACAAAGCGGCTAACACGTGCCTTGCACGTGGTGCCAGGTTTGAAGCAAAGAAAGACGGTCGTTTTGCGGGGGTCGGTTGTTTGAGAGTCGGAAGAGGAGCAAAGAGAGAACGAGGAAAACAGAAGAATGAGTGGCGGAGACATACACGCAGCGGCGAGGTCCGGTGACCTTTCTACAGTTCAATCAATTCTGGCGTCTAACCCTTTGGCCGTTAACTCCAGAGATAAGCACTCCAGAACTCCGTATCCTCCTCTTTCTTTCTTTCTTTCCTTTTTGCCTATCATAATGCTTGCTTTGGGCTTTTTCTCTTATTTTTAATTTCCTGAATGCCCAATTGCCTTAACAATTTCTATTGATTTAATTTCCCTGTTTTTGGGGATGTATTTGTGAACCATTTTGATAGGAGCAACAGTAATTTTTGTAGCTCACAGTTGTTGATAAAACTTGGGAGTTGTCTTGGCCTTGGCTTGTCATGTGAGAGCAAATTAAGAACTGATGTGTGTTGGGTACTACTCACAAGTTACAAGAAAGAAATGATTATGGATTTGTTGTTAGTTTCATGCTCGTTTGTGAGTAGTCCAACTGTCTGACTATCAGCACAAAATAGCATTTCTCTGATATTAATACTTTTCTAACGGATTGGTTCAGGCATTTTTGTTGTTGGAAACGTTTACAAACCCTTTGTTGTGCTCAAATTCTTCTGTAGCATCTACTCTACAAAACTTCAAAAGATGGCAACTTTACTTTGTCTTTACATATCAGGCCATTTCTGTTGCTTCTCTCTTTTCGGCCATTTTATTCATGAGACGATAGTATTTAAGAGCTGCCTCCAAGTGAGTTCAGCTTACTTTTGCCAGTGACTACAATGTCAAGCGGTGGAGGCTTATCCTGGCATAGCTGTATGCTCTATTCAAATCTGAACAAAGTATTCTTGTTATTTATCCAGAAATTGAGATATTGAAGTTTTTTTGGATGATGCATAGCCTAATTAGGAGACCATAACTCGTATGAAAGGGGCGCTCAATTCAGAAAAGTTACAGTACTCCGATATCTCTGACCTTCATTTGGTATATGTAGTGAGCTTTTTATTTGTTTCCTATTATACTATATTTATTGTTGATACCCACTAAAACTGGTTATCAGCTAAATATCCTTTTGAATCTAATTTTCTTCATGACAGTAATGCCAGTTTTGCAATTTGTTTCCTTGACACTGGTAACCCTGTGATATAGACTACATTTGGCAGCATGGTCTGGGCAAGCACAGGTTGTAAGCTATCTCTGCAAGCAAAAGGCTGATGTTGGTGCTGCTGCCATGGATGACATGGGTGCAATCCATTTTGCAGCCCAGAAAGGGCATATAGAGATTGTTCGAACTTTGCTCTCATTGGGAGTCTCAGTTAAAGCTGCCACTCGCAAGGGATTCACTCCATTACACTATGCCGTTCAAGGTTCGCACCTGGAACTAATCAAACTCTTGTTAAAGAAGGGTGCAAGTCTTAGTGCCAAAACAAAAGCAGGGAAGGCCCCACTTGATCTTGCGAAAAGTGAAGAAATTCGCTCATTTTTTAAAGAGTGTGAACAATCTCCTATGAAAGTAAATCTGAATGGTAAAGAGAAGGCTGAAAAATCTGATTCAAGGCCGCCACTGCCAGATAAGATGGAAAGTCCTGATAATGAAGCTACTGCAGCAGAACATGACAGGCAAGAGGATGAGAGAGTAAAAAGGAAAGGTGATGATGATAACCAGGAAGCCTTATCACAACCTAAGAAACCAAGAGTTGCTCTTAAGCATCTTCTGAGTGCAGATGACACTGAAGAAGATGAAGAAACCTCATAAGAACACCAGAGTGGAATAAAAACCATTCCCCAAGCACTCCTCGGACCAAAATTGTTACAAGATTGTGAGGAAAGAAATCTATTGTCTGATGATTTACTTACTATGATGCTAACAACACGAAAAGTACCCAATTTTTCTTGCTTTCCAGTTATTGGTATATCTAGGTTGTAATATTCTTGTAATTTGTCATTTTGAACTTCTGCTAGCTTCCAGTTAGAAAGGTCAATAATGTTGTATGGCCTCAGTGTTGGGGCAGCAGGGCATTATGTTTTGCTTTGTTGTGTATTATCATGAAAAACCAGTACAGTGGAATCCGCATGAGGAGCTTGATTTTAAATACCCGACTCATCTCAAAAGTTAACCATTCCAGACTGGCTCACTTCTTAAGTGGTTGAATAATTTGATTAGTTTTATAAATTCAAATTCAGACCAGTATAAAGCCAATTCAATCAACGCAAGACTAAGAGCAATCCAAATTCTTTTGAATGACAAATAATCCAAACCTAAACGAACCACTCAACTTGATGACCCCATCACGGCCGCCAAAGTTGCCATTTGTTAAGGCGGCTGGTTCCTCCAAATTAGACAACGGATGCAACCGAGTCACTTCAACTAGCAATTAACGAATGAGAAGGTAAACAATTAAACAGCGAAAATAACTAAAACAGTATGAAATTCGCTGCTCTTGTGATATCTCAAACTTTGATTGAAGCTAGAATCTCTGCTCCTAGCTTGTTCCCTTGACTAACATAAGCGTCTCATACAAACTTTGTCATTCATGGGAGCCAAAGAAATTGAAGTTGCCGAAACCATAGTTCTTTGCATAGCGCTGTGTACCAGTAAATTGCACGTGGATATGTATTTTTCTTGTGAGTTTTGTCCACTATACCTGAACTCAAGAATAACAATTACAAGGAGAACTTTCCTTTCTTAACATTAGAAATTCTTGAACCTAGATATCCTACAAAATTTTTATTGTCCAATCTTCAGCTACCCCGCACAGGCTTAGGATGGTTACTGCAGCTGCACCATGTCCCCTAGCCGGAGTGGACCAAGTTCAATTTCTGCATTCTCATTTCCTGGTTCAACAAGAGCACTTTTTTGGCCCAGGAGTATGTCCGAGAAGAATAATCCGCTCAATAATGCAGTCAGAAGAAAATCCAGACCTGCCAAGGGAAGAGGATGCCATATTTGAAGATGTAAGCTGCCCATTCGAGAACACAAAGCGGCGATGAATGTAAGCCCCATGCTTGAAGTCAAAGCTTTTCCATCATCAAGATAGAGTTCCCCTTCAGCTGCTTGGGAATTGTTCAGAGTTATCACCTAAAACAGACACAGCGATGTTAGAGCTAGAGACTCATCATGCTGAAATTTACTAGATTATCGTTGTCATCAATGTCAATACTACCCAATAGAGGAAAAAAGTTAGAGAAAACAGCAACAATCATGATCCAAGCTCAGTCATTTTATAAAGTTTTGAGAATAGATACCACTTCACAGTTCGATGACATGTTCTCTAATGAAAAGGAACTTTGCTGCAAGTCATAAAGTGGTGCCATATTTGGCTGAATTCAACCAGTCGCACGCTAACTAATGAGTACCATGCTGATTAAAACAAACCAAGCAGCATAACTTATTCAAAATATCCGAAGGCCATTTTTCAAAAGCACTGGCAAATTCTGAGCAACAACAAAATTTAATTCTTTTTTTAATATTCCACACCACCAATTCTTTCTAAAGTGCTGTAATCTATTCACAGATTTTATCCACTTAGCCCAGCATTTTCTGGCTATAAGAACCCTTTTTTAAATGATGAGTACTACACATTAAGACAAAAAGTTGACAACATTGAATATTAGAATGCAACATGTCACTAAAAATTACTATATCAGCACTATGAGGCTACAACCTAACTATGATAACTATCATATTAATGAAAGCATGGATGCATTTATGCTCACATGCTAATATTTTATGATGTGAGCATCTCAATCTGTTGGTCTCATAATTTGTAGAAGTGCCTAGGTAACAATTTATGATTCACAAGGCTAGTTTACAAATAAACCACACAAGAATCTTATAAGTTTCATAATACCATATGTGGATTTATTCCTTCATAGGATAATATTAAACATCAAAATTTTGCAGTAGGCATCAGCTAGAACAGAAAATTTGTGGGAAATCTTCTTGATCGGCTTGTTAGTATCAAATAGTGTTCATATTTACCCACAGTCATTTTCATATTTGAAATGGCACATTGTTGTTTGATTGACTTTGAAGAATTTTGTTTTCCGAAGTGCAATTTAGGACCCAAAAGGCCAACACCGTGTTAAAGACTCAAGGAACACTCTATCAACAAAAACGATGAAGTGCTTCCGAGCTTTAGTCAACTTGTGCTGTGCTTTAGTGCCTACGCACATACCATGATAACATTTGGGCCACCAGACAGCCTACCCGTGCTAAGAAAACAAATTGGAAAAAATAACACGATTGCAAGGAAAGAATACCTGGCACTATTTTACACCAACTGTAAGATATATTCATGAGAGAACTGGAAGTGCTAGGTCGTATCAATTACATACCAGTGGTATAAGGATCATGCACCATTTGAGTGGAGCTTCTACGGAACCGGTCTTTTCTTGGTAAAATAGTGCCAAGCTCTTTGGAAAGCAGGAATGCTTTCTTCTGAAACTTCAAGCTTATGGATCTTCCCCCCTTATATGCAGTCCAGTTCTAATGTCATACCACAATTCCATCCCAGGCAAATATACAGATGCATGTTTAGCCCTCTGTATTAAGAGAAAAATTATGAACTTCGGTTATTTACAGGGCAAGAAGATAAGAAAGCAACAGAGAAAATAAGAAACGAAAAGATAGAAGGTTAAAGATCCAGTTAACAGTAGTACCTCACTAAAGATCCCTTGCACCAATACACTGTTTCCAACCATGAAAGCTTCATCGTTACTGAATGTTGCTTCATCAGATGGGAACTCCATCCATAATGGACGTACAACAGGAACACCAGTAACATTTGCTTCTCTGAATAATGAGTAAAGTATGGAAGCAATGTATAACGAACACAGTATGGCATCTCTCATAAGTTCTGTATTTCGTTCACTGAAATAAGATAAAACTCATTACTTTGCAGATCATAGAAGTAAATGCATAATGAAGTAGAGATATATTGTATGATAATAATATCAAGTTCATTATATCTTAAGCCTTTCCATTGACAACAACACTCACAAATACACCTGCAGTTATACAACACAAAGTTCACAGGTGGGATACAAGTATCCTGATTAACAACGGTAAACATTCAGTGGCATTTGGCAACATATTGGGAAAATGAGCCATCACAAGAACTAGAATGAAAGCTGGAATTTCGACTTCAATAGTACTAGACACGATAGAATTCTGTCAAAGTGGTTCTACTAACAGTTAAAGGGTTTTTTTCTTTCATGAATCAATCACTGCAATTCTTCCAAGAACATCTTTAAACATAACTAATGCAGTTTCCATAATACAAAGGAGGTCCACGGGGCCATCACCCCAAAATACACGTCATGCTGCTGACCAGAATTTAATTTGGATGCACTCTCTTCAGATTCAAATGACAAGCATACAAACAGTGAAAAACGAGTAGAGCTTACTTTTCAATGCACTAATAATACATTGCAACAATTTCAGAAACTCGTTAAGTTGTAAGGGATGAGAAACAGATGAAAAGGTGAACAGCACAGTGTTCCTAAGATAGGGTAATTTAGCTTTGGTGAAGAAACGAGCTTAATATGTGTTTGTGATTTTACATGTTAGGAATATTCTATATAAATGCACGTGCTAAAAGTAAATGCTAATCCATCAAGATGCCGAGAGTAGAATTAAATGGATGTTAAAAGCATCATACCAAACAACCAAGGCTCTCGTCTTTTGTGTGTCATGATGGGCATGACCTCTAAAGAAAGGATGTAAGCACCAAGTTGATACCAGCGCACTAATAGCTCAGGCTCAGGATTGCCAAAAATCCACCAACATCAGCACCTGTGAAAATTTATCTAGCATCATTATTTCGGGGGGAAAAAGGTGCACTAGGTTAACTTTTTTTTCTTAAAAAAAAATGGCAGGCATACCAGAGAATGACATTCCAGTAAGACCAAGCCCAAAATCATTGGGACTGAAACCCTGAGCTGATCCCAATCTGCTGTATTATCACCAGTCACACTGCTCCATACCTTTGACTTCCAGCAAAGAATGCTCTGGACAAACAAAAGGCTGTCCTTACCATCTCCACGCTTTACAAGCCCGTCAGCTGTTGCCATGTGGAAGTAATAGCCATAGGCATTGTAACTCCCGATGTTCCACTCCCCAGCATGCAACGCATCTCTGGGCATTGTCACCTAGAAACAGTAAAAGTTTTGTCAATGTGCTGTTTCACCTGCCAGTCTGCATTATGAGGATTTTAACACAACACCCAACACACACACTCCAGAATTTCTACAATTTTGAAGTATAGCTGCCAAAATTAAAGGATACTCAGCAATAACTTCCCCATCTTCATAGATATGCATTTTTTGGGTTATTAATAACAACTTAACATGATTATCAGCAGACATTTGCATTCCAACATTGGATGAACAAAGGAACTCTCAAATGAAAAACAAAACATTTCGCTCGACTTAATTTGGAAAATCCAAACTATTATGATCATAGTCTTTACTTATCTAAACAACAACAATTGAACAAGAAATAAAAAGTTGCATATTACTATCCATTACAAGCTGTACAAAATTAAGGGTTGAATTTGTCCACAATAGTTCCAATACAACTGTAGACCATCAACTACCAAAGTCCTATATAAATACTAACCTCTAAAGGTCATTATAGTAATTTTATCATTAATGAAATATAAAATAACCTTGTAATTAAGTTACTCAACTCATTTCTTCTTTCTTTTTTTATTCTCCTCCATTACTTTTGCCCCACTCTCTCCATTTTTTTCCCTTAATCAAACTAGTTCTCCTCATCTTCCTCTGCAATTATCTGTCTCTCTCGCATGGGTGGGCAGCAACAAGCTAGAGTGTATAATTGAATGATAGCTAAGCAGAATAAGCATTAGCTATTTAACATCAATAACAGAAAAGAGGATAAGAAAATAACAAAGAGATAAAAAAAAAATGAATAGAAAAGAAACACTGCATTAACAAAAGTGGCATACCTCTGGTCCATTAAAGACAGAAGGCTCATTCATGTCATTCCAAATGTACAATGAGAGGAGTTGAACCAACATAATTTTCATAAGAAAACTTCCCACCCACCATGATCTAATCTCTGGATTCAACATATCTGGGTACGAGGAGGAACCTGGCCAACACCACCCATCATAATCCTTCCCACTTGCATCCTTAACATAATACCCCTCTGAGTTGCATCCTTGTGCAACTGAAATGACTCATCACGCTTAATATGTGGAATCCATTGTCACCATATGCCTACCTTTGGCGCCCAACTTCTTTTGCATCTCGTCTGGATGGGAACAGCAACTTATCCCATGTAAATACCTCTTGCCATCAGTATGCTCAATATCAAGCCATAAAACATCATATGGAATATCATGCTCATCAAACTTGGAATCCACATTCTCTACATCCTCTTCATCCCGGTAATTCCACCTACATTGATGATATGCTGTAGCAAACAGCTGTGGCATGGATGGCAGACCTGTCCACACTCGTGTATTGCCTGACAACATCCTTTGGCCCTGGCCCAACAAAAAGAAGGTATCTACAATCCCAGCCTCACTCACCAAAGGTATCAATCCGACTCTGCAAAGTGGGCATCAAAAGCCCATCTTCTGCATCCCAACCATTTGCCAATACATCAATCTGCATCTCTGCAGCATTCAACCAGAAAAACCCAGAACTTTTTCCAGACTTCCCGTGCGATACCATGAATGGAATGGAACCATAAATCCCAAAGGGCGAATCATGACATACTCAAAACATCCAAGTTAAACAATCTATAAGGCTCAGATTCATCAACCCCAGGTCCCCTAGTGGGTTTAAGAGCAAAACTAGTTGCATGTTCCGGTATTCCATAGACAAAAGACCCGTAAAAGGAAACATCGAAACTAATCGACTGTGGACCGTATGGCCTGGTATCAGTATGCCCTCTAAACCTTTCTCCCCAATCCTCATCCTCTTTTTTCACTCTCAATTGTTCAAAATCAAATAAACCATGTGAATTCAATGAAACTACGCGTCGATTACCTGCTTTCTCTCTAACGTAAATCTCAAATGGATCGTGCCTGAGGACTGCCTCGTAGCCGTCCGATAAGTAGACCACGGAAAGAAAAACCCCATCATTACATCGATTTTCTCCGTGGAAGCGCTCTGTAACCAGAGCTTTTTGGCCTCGAATTCGGGATTATAACATCGGGAACTTGGAACCGTTTCTTGGTGGGTCCAACGAGGGATCTTTCGATCTTGAGCCGCATGATCCCATCTTGGTAGACTGAAAGAGAGAGAGTCAACGGCTTGATTTCATCTCCGTCTTGACCATGCGGAGCCTTGGAAATGAGCTGAGCAGTAAGGTCACCATCGGAGATGGAGACATCGTGGGCGATTAGAGTGCAGGCGCCGGGTTTGCGAGATCGAGCTCGCTTGCAGAACGGGGTCTGATTGCAGTTTCTAAACTCGTCTTTTTTCCAGGAGTGTACTGTTTGGGAAGCGAGAAAGAGGAGCAAAATGAGGAAAACCTTGAAGGGTTTCATTTTCATGGGAGAAAGGTCATGAAGAATGGACTATAAACCCTGGAATGGAAATGCAGTGAGTGTTGCAACGCAGTGACAAACGTAGCGAGTTGCTGATGTTCTTTATAAATCTTTACTCTTTAGAAAGTCGGCCTGGAAACTGGGAAGTGATTTTGGGCTCGGCCCTTTGATTTTGTTCTCGCTTGAACATATAGGAAGTGTGAGTGACCCGCCCCAACAACAAAACACGACCCATAACCCGATCCAAATTGTCTCAACTTGAACGAGCCCAAGGTCCAAAATATCTGCAGTTGACATAAAAAAGTGAAGTCATAAAGCCAAGGCGAGGCCCAAATTTATCCATTGCTGCCTGCGCGGGACTCTGCCGCCTTACACCAGGAGTAAAACCCAATAATACTCTTCACTGTTTGTCAGTGTTTCTCAGTTGAGTTTCAAAATCCACAACCAACAAACAATAACATGGCTTCCTCAATTTCCTTAACATCCACTCCCCCTTCCACCTCCCCTCCCTTCCACCATAGAAACCTATTCCTTTCATTTCCAGTCTCAATCCGCATCTCAAGCAACAGCTCTGCCTCTGCACTACTCCCTCTCTGCTTTGCTGCTAAGTCCCAGACGGGTGGACCCGTCAAGAAACGGTCGTCCTCAGCGGCAGGGAATAAGAGGAGGAGGAAGGGGAGAAATGGGGATGATGATAATTTGAAGGAGCTAACATTGAGGGATGTTGAGATTGTGGAAGAAAATGTTGATGATGATGAAGGGTCATCTTCTTCTTCTTCTTCTACTACTACTACTGCTACGCGTGCTTTAGCTTATCATCCTCCGCCGCTGCCCAAACCACCTGCTGGGTTCGTGGTTGATGATACTGGCAGGGTTCTCATGGCCTCAAACAAGAGAATTGCCACTATGGTGAGTCTTTCTTTTTGAAACTCTTGGTTGTTACTTCTATTCCTTAGCTGAAGGTTCGTTTATTGATTTTGCAACTTCCTTGTTTCCGAAAGAGAAAAGCAGAAAACATAAAAAGTAATAATACTATAATGATATTTAGTTTTGATTTTTAAAAAAAAAATTAGAATTGTAAATTTTTGAGCAGAAAATGCATATCTTTAGTTTTATTTAGATTAATTATGCCATAAATAACTACTCCTTGTAGAATATTGTATAATATTAGACTTGTCTAAGCATTAAGGAAAAGCTTCTCTTTTGCACATGTAAACATGATATTTGGGGTAAATCAATCATAGCTATTTCAAGAAGTGGAGTAGTATTCGGGTAGATGACTTAGTGTTGTTAAAGTCTGTTATCATCCACATGCGTCTATCACTAGGAATTTATATAACAATTCACTGATGTTGACATATGAAGCTTTTCTCATTACCAGAGAAGCTACCTTGGATTTTTGAAGTTTCTTATTGATGATTGACCAGCTTGGCTATATGAGGTTATGGTTGTAAGCAAGTTGAGTTGAGCCCAACTAGCACCATTACTCGAGTTTGGCTTACACGCTGAACACAAAGAGGTGTAGCTACAAGTGGTCAAGTAAAAAACCGCCAAGAAAAAAGCCAAAAATGCTTAAGCTTAGCATTCTTTGGCTGAGCATTCTTGTTGATATGACTCAATATAAGAAAGAGTACGAGTTTGTGTCAGATTACAGCAGATGCCAGGCAGGGTAGGCAATGCCACGAACTTGGCCAAATCAATGCCCTAACCATAGCATCTTGCTTGTAATGGTGTTTTTAATATAGAACAGGAGAGAAAGAGGGAGAAAACAGAAAATCGGAAGAAATCACAAGGAAAGGTGAAGAGATAGAGGAATTTACAGGAGAGAAACAGGTAGAACTGAGGGAGAGGGAAATTTCAAAGTTACTTATATCCTCCTCTTAGTAATCCATAATCTAACACATAGGTTACACCCTAAGCTCTAATATGTATAAATGTAAACTACTACCTACGTCCCGTTTTTATTATCCCTACTTGACTTTCATAGAGTTTAAGAAAAACTTTGACTTTGGTATATTTTATATTAAAGCTTAATTTTTTTGGAAAAAGAAAATTGCTGCTCCATGGTTTTTAATTCCAAAAAGTAAAAAAAATCATGAAAAATAATTGCAGAATATAGGAAAAGTTAGAGTATTAGGTGTTCAGAAAAGGAAAGAGGACATAGTTTTGGGACATACCAAAAAGATGGGCAAAGAAAATGGGATAGAGGAAATAATAAATATAACCTTAAATACTAGAAATGACAATAAAGCCCTATGAAGTCTTAAAAAATTTTAATTCTACAATCAGCCTCTTTTTGTCCTGCATCATTACAACATCAGTTTAACTGCAGCTTAATAGCAGTTGTGTGATAGCAGCTGTGATGTTTAGTGGTCAAAACTAGCTAAGTCCTTTGATTACGTAAAAGGCTTGACTTATCTCTTTGCTATTTGTGCATCTTGCTCTCCCACTCGGCTCTATCTGATTCCAGTTGTTTTGATCAGACAAGTCACCAAATTTTCCACTATACCTTGACTTACCTCTATCTTTGGATTAGAATATGGCAACAAATCTTTTAAATATAGATGAAAGAGAGGTTAGAGGGGTACAGTAAGTATTTTGCTTTAATGCTCTCCATTCTCCTTCAAGTAAAATAGTCGACGCTTGTCGTAAATTTTTCATAACTTGTTCTAAATGAGTGATTTTCTTGCTATTTCTTTGTTCTAGTAAACAGGGTAAGTACTTTGCTTCTTTTCATTTTTAAATTTAGTTAAAGAAATTATGGACAGGTTGATTCTGCCAACAACAATCCATTAGAGTGTGTTATAAGGAGGGTATTCGAAAGTTCTCAGGGGGATGAATGTATGCTGCTCTGCCCAGTTGACACGTATGTATTGTTGCCCTAATGTGGCTGTGTAATTCATAAGAAAAATATTTGACATTAATTATTTTTTGTTCTGGTATTTGATAAGGGATTGGTTTCTGCAGGCCTGTTCAGATATTGAAGAGCACAAATATTGATGGATGGTCAGCTGTATGTTTCCTCTTCCACATTGGTTTTTATCATTGCTTGAATCTTTCAGACTTAATTTGTTATTGAACTATATAAGTTTTCCCGTGTAAGAATTATTTTAATAATTTTTCAATTTATTTTTTAATAGCCATTGAGTTTGTAGGATTCATTAATTGTTTTTGCTGTATCGTAGAAGTGAAAATCCCTTCTCATCCCATAGAAAGAACTATCCTCTTTCCCTCATCCCCAGGGACTACAACCTAGCTGACCAACCCACATGCTTCTTTGTTTCAGGTCAGTGATGAAGAAGTTGAAGCTATTCTTCCTACAGCTGCATATGCTCTTGCAAAAATACATATGCATCTGGTCAATAGTGGGTATGTTCATAAAATTAGTATAGCTTGTTTCTTGATTTCTTGATAGTATATATTCCAATATCTTCGTGTTGCATCAGATTCTGTTACACAGCTCGGGGAGGATTTTGCTACTCAGAAGATGACATCTTTGATTTCCGCTCAGGCAATCTCTTCCTCTCATTGCTTTATGCTTTTGAGTTATTTTGGCTCTTATGATTTTCCATCATTACGGTTGACTGGACATTCTTCAAAGTTAATGTCATGCAGACTTCTCTGAACTTTAAATGTAGGGTGAACTTAAGAAATCTGCCTATGCGGATTCTGTGGCAGTGTCAAAAGTGAAAAGTACTTTTCAGGTTTTGTAATTGTAGAGAATCTAATTGTGACTGAAGCAATAGGTTCAAAGTTGCTGAATCTTACATCTGAAAGGAGTATCCAAGTTTGAAGGTTCCTCCTCCCCAGTATAACCATATAAAAGGACAAAAAAAAATTGAAATTACTCCTTGTGCCCGTGTGGGTGAAGGGAAAGGCAAAGAGAGGTAGAGGTAGGGCATTCTGATTCTCCTTGTTTGGAACTAAAAGGCAAGTGAATGGTAGAAGCACCTTACCACTCATTTCCCCCTCCTTTTCCTTCCACTGATTTGCAGAAAATTGGGGAAGAAGATTCCTCTTTTAATGAAGCTTTCTGATCTCCAGATGCCATCCTTATGATTAATTTTCTCTCACCTTATCAATTCCTCTCCTTTATAGAGTCTAAACATTATTGTGGATGGGTTCCTTGGTAGAATTGTGTTAGAAATTATTTGGCGTTAGGATTCAAGAGTATGAAGAAAGCAGTTAGGTGTAGGGTCTGGGTCTGCTGCTTATTTTAGACAATAGTGATTTGCTTTCTTTAATTTTCCCTGTTTTCTTCTGACACTGTCCAACACTTATTATGTATCTGTTGTGTGATTTGATATGTTTATGCTTGGTGTTTAAATTTTGCAGATGATGGTCAAGATATAGATGGCTTGCCAACTGAAGGCATAGAAATTACGTGCTTCCATCTGGTAATAACCCTCAATTTTCTTTCCATTTCAAAGTTTCATCTGAAGTTGAAGTGGCTTGCATAAGTGTCTTCTAAGATCTGCACTGCTGCATCTACATCATGATTAAGAAATTTTAAACTCTATTTTGTTGGCTAATTTGCCCTATATGCTTAAATGATAATCTTGCAATTCATAATAGTCAAAGCTGTAGGTAAAATTTGATTTTCTATTTTATTTGCAATTTCATATGGTGTGGGGAACATGGAGGTGTAAAAATTGAACATCTGATAATCTGGAAACTCAATAACTGTGAAATTGTCAGGGACAATTTAGGGATTTATATTCTGACTATTTGGCTCTGACCATACAGAGCTTGTGACGTAGAACAATTAATCTCAAACTAAGTTCTGAAGAAAATAGTCTGAAACTCAATTTCAGAATCTCAAATCTCCAGTCACACAATAAAACAAATTCCACCAAATAAATAGAGAAAATTGCAATAAAATAAATCCAAGAAAGCCCAAATAAAAAAATAAAACTATTTTCTCATTTTGCACCCAGTATAAACATTTTTCCAAAATTTGGAAGGTCGGTCCTCTATCAACATGTTGCCTATTCTCTCATATCTGCTTAAAAATCATTGGCCATGGTGTGCTTTTCCTGCTGAATAACATTGTTGTAATCTTCCTGTCACTTTTATCATTTTCAGTTTGAAGCA